ATTTCCATTTTGTTTGTGAACAAAAATATTTTGTTATTTTTTTTGAAAAAAAATAAAATAAAAAATCTAGGCAAAGTGTGGTGATGTGGTGAAAATATTACATACAAAATTTAATTTCTTTAATATTTTTCCTATTCCCCATATTTCCATTTGTGTTAAAAAAAACTCTACATGCATTTATAAAATTCCTGATTTTATTGATTTCCATTTTGTTTGTGAACAAAAATATTTTTTTATTTTTTTTGAAAAAAATAAAAATAAAAAATCTAGGCAAAGTGTGGTGATGTGGTGAAAATATTACATACAAAATTTAATTTCTTTAATATTTTTCCTATTCCCCATATTTCCATTTGTGTTATTTCACAGTTTGGATTAATTCACTATTATTCTAAATGTGAACAACAGTCATAATAAAGAATGAGTAGGTGTGTCCAAACATTTTACTTGTATTTTATCATTTTTAATGCGCAATCATATTTTTTTTCTTAAAACTTTAAATATTGCCATATATTCATACCTGAATCCATGAATAACCAGCATTAGTATGCTTAATTATTAATAAGCAGCAACTAGTATGTAAAACTAGTGTTTTATATAATACTTTTGAATGACATAATGAAATGACTTGTAATAAATAGTGACTACAAGTTACTATACGCATATAATGTGGACCTGCAGTCTGAGCTCCTCCAGCTCACGTGTTTTATCCAGCAGTTCTCCCCCGAGCTCGGCCAGCAGCAGCTGCTGTTTCTCCTGAGCGACCTGGCGATCACTGAGCAGGCGTTTCAGTTCACTCTGCGCCCGCGTGTATTCATCCTGCAGTCTGCACACACACACAAACACATCTGTTCAGAAGACGTTGAAGTTTAACAGGATATCTTACAGTATATAAATATGCAGTATTCACTCACCTGGTGTGCTCCACTTTCAAGGTCTGATAGTTGGTCTTGTGGTTCTCACAGCGCATTCTCTCATCAATAAGCATTTTCTGGAGCTCCATATCAGAGCTGGTGAGTCCCGTAGAGCCGCTCAGGAGGACTGCAGCTTTCCCACCTCCTCCTGCCAGCTCCAGGTTTGGGAACAGGGCAGATGACTGCCCTAACGCTGGAGGGTTCATCTGCTCCATAGTGAGGAAACAAAAGCAAAAGATTTAATACCTCCCCCAGAAACCACTACAACCTCAAGAGAGCTCTAAAAAAAGACAAAGATCTCAATCAACACAAATGACTCCACTGCCAACCAAAGTCAAGAGATGCAGCCACATCTCATCAGGGCTGACTGTTTTAAATCACTTGTAATAGCCTAGTTAGCTCGAACAAAGCATCTAATCAATGCATGTGCAGCACAAGAGTCCTTGTTTGCTCCTCTGCTCTCAAGGGATTAGATGTGAAGCTCAGGCTGGTCTCCAGTGATTCACTCTGTGTTGTAGAAACAGAGCTACTCCAGCATAAACACATAACGGCTTCCCAAGTTGTCAGAGCAACTGAGCCACTGGGAAAACGTACCTCGTGCTTTTAAAAAAGCGCAAGATGAAGCATTTCGTGTTGTCTGTGAGTGGAAGTCGGTGCATAGATTGCTAACTTATATTGAAATGTCATGCAAATAGTGATTGATAAACACTTACTGCACGTATTTCATAAATAAACACCTCTGCTGGGCGTAAACTACTGCATTGCGTTGAAAACTATACAAAATATAATAATACATTTGTGCATTAAGGTAAAAAGTAAATGATTTGAAAAGCTGTTGTAAAGTTACCCGATCCACCGCTGGCAGCGACGCACTGTTACGTGATGATGATGGCGGCTAGAGGCGCCTTTCAAAATAAAAGACTTGTTTCGACACGTTCCGTTCTGGTTCCGTTATACAAAGTTTACTAAATAGTATTATTGACATTTTTATTTAGTTCAAATATTAGTTATTAATGTATTAATATTATTAATATTTGGTTCACACACACACACACACACACATTTGTATTAAATATGGCTTTTATTTTGTATATTTTAATAATTATTTAATAATGTGCCGTAATAATCTAAATAATAATAAAACGAAATCATTAGAATTTTCTTAAATTTATTTATATTTTCTTAAATATTATTATATATCAATCAAGGCTGTATTTTTGTAAAAATAAAAAAAAACTGTAAAATTGTGAAATATTATTGCAATTTCTAATATTGGTTTCCTATTTTAATATTCTTTAAAATATTATTTATTTCTGTGACGCAGCGCTGAATTTTCATTAGCCTTTACTCCAGTCTTCAGTGTCACATGATCCTTCAGAAATCATTCTAATATTCTGATTTATTATCAGTGCTGGAAACTGATGTGCTGCTTTATATTTTTTGGCACCTGTGATACTTTTTTCTTTGATTCTTTGATGAATATATATTATGCTTAACAAGATATGGTCACAATGAAGGAAAGAAGGAAAGGAAGGCATATGGGTTTGAAACAACATGAGGATGTGTAGATATAGTATTTTCTTTTTGGGGTGAACATCGCAATATCTGTGCAATTTGCAATAACGCTTTTCTGCCAGCAGAGGGCGAACATTGACAGTATATTATCCTCCTGAGACCCAGCTATGGAGTTTTTGCCTCTGTGATATTTTAGTGACTTTCTCTGAGACCTCACATGTCACAGTTTTAAGTCCTGTAAAGAGCACATTCAGGGCTTTCCAGAGATACCAAATGATTGGATGGATTCACCATGGCCACGCCCTCTCCTTGGTTTTTAAAAATGGCTGACATTAATTTAGTGATAAATTTGTACATCCTTATAGAAATATGATAATATTTTGTAATTATAATTTAAATCTGATTAATTTTCAAATTGTTTGTCATAAATCAACATCTCAGGAAAATGTTATGGGGCTTCAAATCAAAATATGACTTCCTGTTATGAAACAGGACATCATTTCATACATGTCCACTGTAGAGGACACCAGGACTAAAAGCATGTTTATTATGCATTTGGGGAGACAAAAGAATTGAATAGGAAAACAAATTATATATCAATACTCTAATGAAATATTAGATATTATTATGAAAATCTGGCCAATTACTACTCCCATTATTACACTTCTTTTTTCAACATGCTGTCCCAACAGCACTTTAATATGCAAATTAGATACATTGTGTTTAATGGGAAAACCAGTTTATGGAATTTTTAAAGACATATTGCATAAAGCAAAATGGTATATCAAATAATTTTGTTATATATTTTATAACATAGTTGAGAACCATCCTTAAACAAAGTTTGGTATATAAAAAAATCCTGAAACCTAAAAATTGATTGATTTTTTTTTTTTTTAAGTCCCATTGTTTTTGCCTTTTCATGTCTATTCTTGTCATTTTATTTTTTAGAAAAACCGAGTACTGGTGTCCTCTACAGAGGACATAGCATAACATATGAATAAAATATCTTTTTCCAAAAATGTTATTTTACCATTTTGTTCTTATGCTCTAAACAATGTAATGACATGAAAAAATACTAAATTCGCAAAGCTTTTTATTTCTGGTTCTCAGGTCAGCCTTGACATGTGTGAGGCTGTTCTAGCAGATATCCAGACAGACAGATGCTTTCATTCATACAGACAACTTTGCGTAGTACGGGATAATATTATCTGCAGGATACAATAACCACAGTAAAAGTCCAGTTTATGTACCCATGGCTGTGTTCAACGTTTGTTTTTTATTTTACATGGGTAGTTATCGTTCCTTCAGCTATGCCAACATACACCGTTTATAAAAAGATGTGTTGAGATTGGCGCGAGTGTTTTTATTTTGGCATCACAGTCCCTGAACCTCTTGATATCTTTGGGCATGAACCAGCCCTCATGCTGTTATGAAAGATATTTATAGTTTTTGGTAAGCATTTTATCTTTAAAAGGACAAGAGATTAAACCACTCCTGAAATAGCCACTGTTTTTCCCACAGTTTATTATGTGTGAGTGAAGAGAAAGACAGCGTTTTCTTTTTTTAATCTGAACATTTATTCAGGTGCTCAGAGAAGTATGCTAAGTACTTGAAATGCTGCCTGTTTTTTTTTTTTTTTTTGTATTTTGTATTTTATATCACAAAAATTACCAAACGTAAGCTGTAACGGGCCTTTATCGCCTTTACTAAAGGCGCTGTATATTTGGGAATACCACATATTAAATGTACTATTATCTGGCAGATATTGAAATCACACATCTGTGCCAGCAATAGTCAATCACTCTAGCTGGCCGCTCTTTTTAGCCAATCTTCTCGCACTTCCGGTCTTTGTTTGGAATTTATGTTTTTGCTCCCTCTTTCCTCATATTAGCAAACTATGTAACATCAGTTGTGTCCCAAAAGACATTCTATACACTATGCACTTACACTGTGCACTATGAATTCTACCATCTAGTGAATGAATTTTAGGTTGTTATTATAAAGGTTATTTTGTCATCCACCATTAGAGCCTGATAGCCCCTCCCCTTCCACTATGTAAGGAAAGCTAAAAATGTTTATAGCATTTTTTTAACATTATAACCTGTTATCTTCACTCTTTTTAAGTCTTAAGGTGTGAATTGGCCTTTACAGTGATGTTTCCCATCATTGTGTGTGAATCAGCTTTCCATTTTCCAGTAAGCCTCTGTGGAAAAAGTAACAACACTCACTGCTCTAATTTTCTGCTTTGCATTGTGGGTCACGGTATGATGGTAGGTATTCACTCCCACTGAGAGCTTAACTAGCGCCTCAGTTTTCACTTACTTAGGGCATTTATCACTCAAACTTCTCATCAGCTCTCCAAGTAGAGGAACTCCACCTATGTCACAGTGCTCCAGTTTTTCTCTTAGCTAAACCAAGTATTTGAATCTGCTGTCTTATTTATAACTCTCAAAAGATTCAAATAAAAAACCAAGACAGACGTCGTGGACAGTAGCGGTAGACCAACACTTCTCCATGTTTAAGGCAACTGAAGAGGAGGACGGGAAGCTAAGCAGAATCACAGCACTCAGATTTAATGCTGAAAACATCTGTGCTGCTGCAAAACAATTATTAATTAAAAGGATGAGCTCTTCATCCATTTATTTACTTTGATTCCCTGCCATGTTTTCACTCAAATGCATGGAGTCAGTCCCCATATGGCCCTCCACCTGAACTGCAAAAAATGTTCCCCAGATTTTTCACTCATTGCATTCTCTCAAAGCAGTGATATATACTGCAGATCCGTAATCTTCCAGCATCTGTTTCTTTTCAGACAGGATGGAGATAAAAATGCGGCTCTGGAGAAAAACTGCTATATACTTGCCCTTCCCCCTCAGAAAAATGCCTTTCTAATGTTTCAGTCACTTATGGCCAATGTTCTCTAGACATATACATCACAGGACTGACTTCATGTGGATATACACGTACGTCTCTATTTTATAGACTTTACAGTTTCTTTTTGTGCTATATCTTGTTGGAGAATTGAACATGTGGGCATTACCTTGTGTGTAACACTAATGTGGGTGCCTTGCATGGAAAAGGAAATTGTTTTTATGCTTACATGTGCAAGTATTTGAGAGTTTGTGTGTTGTTGCGTTTTGAATTGTGTCTGAATAAAAAATTCACAACACGGGGCACTATATTTCGCCTCTTCAAATTTGGTTAATGGACAAACATAAGATTCATCAGTGAATTAAAAAAAAAACAAATCAATCTGTATTTTATTTATCATGATTCAATTTACAAAATTACTCATTAGAAATGCTAAACAATACGTAAACATCAACTGCTTGATTTCTGACTGGACTGAATTAATCTGCGAATGTGACAGCATATTAAAGTTTCATCTCTCACACAGTCAGAATTTTGCTGGGAAAATGATTTGTTCATGACCAAATAAAAAAAAAAGAGTTCCCAACAGCATCATAGTTTCCATCTTAAGTCAGACGGATGATCTCAAATTTCTTAGGCCCTCTGTAAGGTCTGGGCCCCAATTCTGTAAGCAGCTCCTCTTCATCTATCTCAGCTGTGAGCTCCTGAGCTGTGATGCCTGCCGGGTCAGTGCCAGGCACCTGGCCCAGCTGCTTGTCTTTAGGACAGTCTGCGTTGTAGGTCTTGACGTAGTTTTCCACCGGCCAACCACGAAACTCTTCTGGTTCACTGCACACCAGACCTGTGTGGGACACACCGGGGTGGTGCTTCAGCCAATAGATCAAGTAATGAATGTTGTAATCACAAATCCAGGGGTTGTCCTCCAGAGACAGTCTTTTCAGGAAGTACAGGTCCTCCAAAACGCCATATTGAAAATAGCGCAGGCTGTTGTTGGACAGGTCCAATCCTCCCAAGTACAGCAGGCCTGTAAAGGCAGCTACAGAAAACAGAAAAAGCAGTAAATAGATGAACAGTCTCTTCAGATTTCATTTTCAAAACCTATAAATAATACTTAAAAATCAGGTTATTTCATTAAGACTCAAATAAAAAATAAAATAGAAAAAGTACAAATGAAACCATATTGAATGCATTATTAATGGAATTTTTGGTTATGTGTTATTATATATAAAATTAGATTTTATTTACAGATTTACATACTGTTGATATGAAAAACCATAACATTCCTTTAATTAGAGGATAGGACTGAATGAATTACACCTCTTTTGCATTGAAGTGAGCTCAATCTGCCAACTAGCTGTGTTCTCACTGTGATCTCTGAACTGACTGATGAACTAAACAGAAGCTAGACTGCAGTTCCTGAGCCTGTAGTGTGACTGAATGAGTGTTATCATCCCTCTAGGGAACCATTAGATGACACACCCTGCTGCTCTGTTCATTAGAGCCCAACTGACTGCGATTAAGTGCATTTTTTAGGTAGTCTAGAAAGGCTTAGATGTCTTATAATTATAGCGGCATCAGCAAGTACTTTGTTTTTGTTTGTATTTCTCTCTATGGTGAGAGAAAAAGACAAATGTGAATTCTGTGTATAAACCTCTGAGGAAGCGCTTTTGGGATAGACTTAATTGTAAAAAATGCAGGCAGGGAAATACAGTGGTCAGTTGATTAAATATATGGCATTTCTAATGACTTTGAAATGGATTTGCTTTAAACCAAAGAGTTGACTGTACAGTATCTGACAGACTCTGGAAATAAAATTATAGAAAGTCAAAGAGATTCAAGATTCAACCCTTCTTAAAGACTTACATCCCAACACTGAAGTTATTGTATGGCTTTAAAACTGAGATTTTCAACCTTTACAGTTCAGGGACCCCAAGTGTATATATATATATAAAAGCTATACTGTCTTGGTAACCCTTTATAATGGACATCATTAAGATCATTTGCAAATGTTCATTCAAATCATCTACACGGATCCCACTTGTTGACAACACTGGCTTGAACAGACTTTTACACACAAGTCCTTTTGTGTTTCATGGAAGAAAGATTACATGATTCCTAAAGCTGCTAAATGTGTCTGCTCAGCAAGAAATGGCCTACAGATTTTTTACAAGCAATTCTATTCTGTGAACCCCCTGCCTGGTTTGCTCTAATTGGTAAAGGCTTGAAAATTAACATGCTGAGGTTTATTGCTTTCTCCACAATAACAACTCTTGATAGCTGTGCTGCATAGTTGAGGCACACTTTGATTTCTGTCATTCTTTATTCCCAAAGAACTTAAGTTCTTTCACCCACCCAGTCTTTTGACAAATGATTGTGACATATAAGCCCTTCAGTTTAATGTAGAGGCCAGAGTCGATTCCTTCACCACTACTGATGCACAAACAGAATGTGGCCTTTTTTCTAAATGCAACGGAAAGGAAAATGAATGGTTTCTAGTTAACAAACTCATAATTTACTTAAGTTCTTTCACCCACCCAGTCTTTTGACAAATGATTGTCACATATCAAGTCAAGTCAAGTCACCTTTATTTATATAGCGCTTTTTGTCATTCTTTATTCCCAAAGAACTTAAGTTCTTTCACCCACCCAGTCTTTTGACAAATGATTGTCACATATAAGCCCTTCAGTTTAATGTAGAGGCCAGAGTCGATTCCTTCACCACTATTGATGCACAAACAGAATGTGGCCTTTTTTCTAAATGCAACGGAAAGGAAAATGAATGGTTTCTAGTTAACCTTTCATGAATTCCCCAACTGGTGTCATTTCAATCAGTGCCTGACAAGATGCTTTAGAACTTTAATGTCAGACTTCTTTTCGATTGAGACTCCTTCCTTGTCACTTACTGTATTGCTGTGCCAAACATCTGTTTCCTGCACTTTGTGCAACAATCAAATAAGTATATGTCTTGAGGACAGGATTTTGTTGTGTACCATTGGCTTACCTGTGTCGATGCTTTCCAGACTGTTTCCACTCAGGTTCAAGAGCTTTAGGTCTTTAACGTTTACAAACTCCTTTGGTCTCAGCTGCTTGATGTTGTTTCTGGATAAATCCAGTCTCACAATATCCAACGGGATGTCAGCCGGGACTGTTTTAAGGTCTATGGAAGAGAGAGTTGAATTACTTTAATTATGTAGGCCTGTTGGAAAAGGTAACTTCATAATTAGCACAATTACACGTTTGATTGACATTACTTCGTTACGAGTTATTTTGATTCCCAAGGGAATATTGTGTAATTGACAGTGTGCTTGCAAAGCACTTTGAAGGGCTTTCTGTATTTCCAAATGATTTCCAGCAGGCTAACCATACATGGAAACATCTGCCATGACCATTGTTGGAAGTTCTGTACAGTTGATTCCTCATTGGTGGTCTGCTAAAGTCATTTTCTCAGACACTTACTGATAATGGCATTCAAACTAACTAGTATCTGTATATGAATCTTAAATTATACACAAAGCATGATCATTGTGAAGAAGCTCTCTGTTTATTTTGGAAAATTCTGGCCACTCGAAAGCTCGACGCAACACTTTGGATGGCTCCAGCAAACCGTGCCTGGCTATATTTATTTATATCATCACAGAGAGTGCTATTAAAATCGTACACATGGCACACGTTTGGTGGTAACTCTTGAAACTCTGTGAGACATCACTGTCTCTGTGATATTCGGAAATGTTATCGTGGGACTTGTCTGCTTGACATGTGCAAAAGCTATGCGGCATGCAGAACTGATACAGCTGCACTTCCTGCTTTGACCCGCCAGAGCACCTGTTTTAAACCCTAGAGTGCCTTCAATGAGAGATCTTGCTCAGATTTTACATTCTGCTTTTGTTCTGCCACCTATATAAACACAGATTTGATCCACAGTTACTACTAGAGTAGATATGACACTGTTTTACAGTGTCTCTGGGATCTGGAGATTTCTGAATTGTACCCAAAGAAATGACCGTGCTGTAATTCTTGTAACTAATTCAGGGAAAAGCCTTCCCAGAAGTTGAGATCACTAATTCTTGGCTTTTAGTCTCCTGCTCTTGCCATAAGATTCCTGCATGTGCTTTCTGTGATTAATGCTGACAAAAGAAATAGCCATTTATCCCTTAGATCCCCAGAACGGATGATGTAACGCTACAAAAGTGTGACTTTTTTGTTCGAGGGAGTGATTCAGGATGCCTTCCTCAGCTCCAGACAGCTGACTCACTATTTCTAACAAGCAGAGAATTCCAAATCCCACTGACTTCAAAATCCATCTGACTTCATTTATTTCACTTCATTTGAAATAAATGAACGTGTGATAGAAATGAACGTTTTCTATCACACACATTTTGCTTGCCTCATCTAACCCTGAAGATTTCATCTTTGGCCTGGCAGTGTCTCTCATCTTGTTATGGATGTCAGAGCACATTTAGCTAGTTTTTTAAAATAATGAACCTCGCTTTACAAGATGGAGAACTCAAAATTCATGTGCAGAAACAGAGGGCTCTAGAGAAGAGAAAAAATCTTGCACCGACAAAGAGCTCTTTCATAGATAAATGCAGAATTATATCCGTCTTCCTTGAGTGAAATTTAAATGACACTTTCTTTGTCATATCTCACAGTCATCTCTTCATCAGAAAAAAAACCCTCTTGTTCTAAGTCCTTCCCTGAAACACTATAAGACATGCATAAGACACAGACCAGCACTGTTCTCTTATTCCCATGGAGATTTGCATGTATAGCCGTAGTATTGTGGTATTTCCTATGCTTTTGGAAGAGAGTTTTTTTTAGGGGACCGATTCACAAAGGGATTTTTATATGAATTTTGCCTTTGTTTTGCAGACAGCCTTTTGAAATATAACACTTAGATTCAAGCTTCAGAAAAGTTATGGTGTCTTGATAACAGTCAGAATATGGCATTAATGTGTCTCTAGAGAAAAGTCTCCAGATGTTGAAGCTGGAATGATACTCATTGCCTTTCCGCTAGTTCCCTGCATCTTATATTTCATGTTTCCAGACATTTGTTCCACTCTGCTGTGAATTAAAGTAACTTACCACATGCCGAGTCAGCATAATATCTATCTATCTATCTATCTATCTATCTATCTATGAACTTTAAAAAAGTTGTCATTTTTTATTCCAATTTTTCCTCAAATTGACACCATGTCTCAGCATATGTACGCAGGTACTGTTTCTTAAACACTATAGATGAAAAGCTGCTTTACACAATTAAAAGGGAGTGTCTAGGGATTTGAGGAAAGCATTATTCATTGTGTCAGTATTTATTGTGGAATAAACAACACTTTGCCCTAACTGGTACTGCAGTAAAACCACTTCAACATTTCAATTTGCTAAAAAGAAACCACACATTTTCAAACTAACCCTGTTCATCTTTCTGTCAGATTGAATTGCTTAATTGCATTTCATGTGGCAGCCTCCTTCCCAAATCTTTTCACATTCATGTTTCATACAACAACTATGTAAATGATTGAAAAATAATTATGTTATTATTAATATAATTCAGTAAACTGATTAGTATATTAGTAAGGTCAAATAGTTATTTCTTTCTTTCTTTCTTTCTACGTTTTTATTTGTTTAATGGGAATGAATGCTAATCACAGAATAGAGTACCTAGAAAAATCTCTTTCAGCCAACAGAATCAGTTTAGTGGACCAAATTTTTCATGATACCACTGTTGAGGTCACACAGTCAGCCAAATATTGCTCAAGCTTTCTTGGTAACCCCTTGTTACTGGACACAACATAAACAGAAAATACTGTGTGCACCTTTACAGTGACCATTATAGTCACCATGGTTTGCCAAGTCAATTGTGAATCATTGGATTTTCCCAAACAGGGTAATGTGTTTGTTTCTTCACAACCACAACTTGATTTCACTCCCACTTCTCCCCAAATGTCCCTCAAAATAGTGAGCAATAGCTTTCTCACCTCTGTTCCTGCAGTCCAGACGGGGCACAGGGTGAATGTAGGTGTGACATAGAGAGGTTGCATCAGACTTTTTTTGTGAAGCCGGTAGGGGCTGATTGTCCGGATGCGGGATCAATACGTTCTCCTGCTGAGGGGTACACAGAAGCTCTGCATCCAGCTTCTTCAGTTGCCTCCCCCAGAATTCCCTGGGCTCAGCACAGCGTGCGTAATTGCCGATGTTACGGTTACTGGGCACTTGTATGAACCTGACCAGGCTGTCCAGCTGGCAGTCACACCTCCAGGGATTGTCATGGAGTCGCAAGTACTTGAGTTGCGGCATTGGGATCAGCATGCCTTCGCTCGTCACCTGCAGACGGTTGTGCTGCAGCAGTAAAGTGGTGAGTCTGCTCAGGCCGTTGAAAGCTCCCTCCTCTATGCGGGAGATTTCGTTCTGCTGGAGATCCAGACTCTTCAGGTTTCGGAAGTGACTGAAGGTGTTGTCTCGCAGCACCTGGATCCGGTTCCGTGCCAGCAGCAGGTGGTGAATGTCCTCCGGCCAGCCCAACAATACGGCTGTCAGATGGCGCTCTTGGCAGTCAAAGAACTTTTCCCCATTGACAATACTTTCCTTGCAGTCTGCAGCAAACCGCTTGGTGGTACTTGACCAGTCTCGACTCCGCATTCGGCGTCCCTTTCCACCCTTTCGTGCCTCAGTTGCCCAGACCACCAGGCACAGCAGCAGCAGCAGACCGCAGAGCAGCCGCATGGCAAACAGCAGCAGCAGGGTTAACCAGTCAAGTAGAGTCTTAGCGTAACTTCGATAAACCAAGAGCTTGCTTTAGTCAGAATGAGAGAGCACAGCTGCAGTCCCTGAGAAAAGGCAAACGAAATGTAAATAACTGCATTAACAAGAGCTGCATTACAAACAGAGAGAGAGGACACAGACACAAATGAATAGCACCTTTGTCTTACTGTTAATTCAAAACAAGTAAAACATCATAGGACAGTACTTATTTTTAAAGTTAAACTCAATCCACAACATATAATTTTGTGTTCCCTTCTATGAAAATGTATAGTTTAGTCATCCAAAGGGTTTAAATGCCAAAATGTGAGGCTTATATTTTTGCTAAAGCACTTACATCAATGCTGCACAGACATTGACAGAAAGGAAGTTTGGAGCATTTGTACACACATATGTGTGCCAGTCCTATTACATCATCCCTTAAATCTGTTGCACTGCTTACAAATCCTCACCTGTGACAAACATTAACCAAGAAATTCATTATCTTTAGATATGTTGAACTGATTTTGATTGGTTGACAGATGTTACAAGGGTTGTTTTTTCTTTCTAGCAGCACTGCTATGAAGTAGTTCCAGGATTGTTGACCTATCATCACTATCACTTTGCCACATTCTTTCCACGTTAGTAACAGTAGACCATAAAAAGTAGATTTACACATCCTGAAATAAACACACTATATTGACAAGCACGTTTGGTAACTGTGATACAGTTTAGTATAGAATAAGCATTGAATTCTTGAAATCCACTTTGTGTCATGGCTGCATTTCCACCTTTGTTGTGCATTAATGTTCAACAATTTAATAGTCCATCATAAATTGTTCCTTACTTGGAGTAGGAAAACTTCTTAAAGTTTCATGACCATATGTCAAGGATCAGTGCAGCATAGTGTTCTAACTATAATTTAAAATGATCTAAGATATTTGGATGACCGCTTTCCCTAGTGATTGTATAAAAACAGAATGAATTACAACTCGATTTCTGGCATAATCCCTTTTATGAGCCTACACCCTGCTATGTCAATATTTGCCTTGTGGGGAGACATGCTACATTTTTACTATTTAATAACAATTACAAATAAGTCCTCATTTCCTACATACTTTTCTCTCAGTTTGCTCATGCATTAATGTTATAATTACCTACCATAGACTTTGCCTGAGTCACCGTGCTGTGTGCTATTGCAGAGACATACACTGTAAAATTCAATAGTTTACCTTACTTAGATTTAGTTAGTTATCTTTACTTAGTTGTTATACTTACTAGGTTTTATTAAGTTACAGCTACTTTCAAGGCAAATAAAGCAATTTACTTACTGTTTTGAGTGACACTTACTTAAAATATTCAAGTAGCCACAAAGGAACCAATGATATAGCTATTTGTTGATTGACTTCTTCAGAAATATAAAGACTGTGTTTCTCTAGCACTCTCAAAACATTGTGCTGTTTGTTTGAGTAGTCCGGCGTAGTCCATTGAGTAATGTGAATTAAGATGAATGGGAATGCTGACAGATAGTTTCACATACTATAGCCCTCTCCTATGAGACAACAGTTTGCAACAGCATGCTTTTAATTGGCTAACAGGAGAAACGAGTGAACTGGAAGGGCAGTGCTAGTAAAAAAGCTCTAACTTGAACAGGGATGCTCCTGTACTGTACTCATTCTGTCTCCAGCCTGATCATTCTGTTTGTGAGTCTGCTGAACATCTGCCCAAAAATCTAACTTGCCGTTGAACCATTTACAGCACTTTCATTCATTGGTCCTCCTCACTAGCAGATAGCAGTGAACTTCAGCAATGGAGTTTGGGCTTCAGGGCTTTCCCTGTCTTTCAAGACACTGTAAAACTACTAACAGGTCTTGGCAAGACTTCTGACAGGCAACATTCTTCCAGTCTATAGTTATGTTGCTGTGCAGCTATTTTCACAGATGTATCATGCAATTAAATTGTTGAAATTGTATTAGCAGGAACAGTTCCATGTTCTCTCTTTCCAGTGATAAAATGGCATGACTATGACATCATGTGAACATGCTGTGTGATAATCATTGAACTTTCCTGCTTTTTCTTCACAGACTTGTGCACTTGTTGTTATGCCAATAGAAAAGGTTGTATAACTTTTAGCGCATATGTACCAGGACAGATGCAATGCGTTCCTGTACAGATCAGTGAAGTAACATGCCTTGATATCTAGATTTTTTTTAAACCTTGTGATCGAATAGACATCCAATCATATAGTACTTACTCAAGCAAAACAGAAAATGCCACTTGCGTTGTGATTGCGTTAACCAAAGAATTTCCTTTAGAATTTTCAGAATTTCATATAAACGTTTCTAAATAAAACAGCTTTTGCTAGTTGAAATCTATAATGTAATTTTGACATCTATAAAAAATTTAGTTGAGATCACAAGCACATTTTGTACTGTTAAGATATAGAAACAATTAAGTTGAAAACTTTTTGTCGATATCTGGATAGAAATGTTATATTGAAATCACACACACACACAAACTATGATAATCCCAGGTATAAAGGGAGTCTGTGAGCAGATATGCCTGGGATAAGCTCTGCTAATGGAGCGGACATTAACAGGAAACAGTCAGCACTTCAGGTGAATGAACCAGCATAACGCAATCCTTGTGCGAGTCCCTGGCTGCTACAGCCTTGGTTTACTACAATAATAGAAAGAAAGAAGAACCAAGGGATGGAAAACTTCAATGGGAAATTGAGCAGAACGCAGGCACTGTTCACTGTCCCACATAAGAGGGGGAGTGTGTATTTTCTTTTCAACTCCTTTATTTTTTTATATTTCATGCCACCCAAAGTCCAGGTCACCCAGCATGTCCAAAAGAATGCTCCTGATTACTTCAGGTCCAGAGATAAAGACCTGAAATTATTTTGGTTAGAGACCTTGAGAAGAATTTACCCCCCTCCCACACCGTATAGACCCCAGTTATCAGCACAATGTGTGTGTGAGAGAACACGCTTACATGGCCAGCAGCGCTTAATTAAAACCATTTGAACTTCCTGCTTGAGGAGGAAAAGAGTTTTCTCAAAGTGTTTTCCTTTTTACTCAACCCTAAAAAATCAAGTGGTATAATTATTAAACCTGTCCTTTTCAGTGAAAATCATTTTCAGCATATATTTAAGCAGAGGAACCTTTGGACTCACATAGACATCAATCAATACTTTCCTGTCCAGGCATTTTTTTTTTTTTTTTTTAAAGAAGACCACAAACATGCATTTCAGAATAATCAGTCTTTCAGTCTTTCTCCTCACATTTTTGCTACTTTCCTGAACCAGCATGCGGAGTTGGACAGTGTGTCTTGAGCAGAGACACAATTGCTAAACAAACTTTTCACACAAACTGACTCAAGTCAATGCCCAAATCCCTGCCAAAATTAAGATTGCAGGAAGCATGCAATTCCTCTGTTACGAAACTGCAGTCGATTCAAGAGTGCATGACTTACTGTACGTCCATCTGCACTGGCATTGCAAGAAAGATTTCCCCACACACATGCAAACATGCACACCCATAATATAAGTCCTCAGGTACCTGTGCACAGGGAAATGCATCCGAAATCTCATCCAATCTGGATATGTCCTGTTAGCTGATCTTTAGGTCCTGTCATGAGCTTTGTGCAGTGCTGGATGCCTGAACTCAGCGGTCTGACTGTACGTGTGTGTGTATGTGCATGAGCATATGTGCGTGTGAGGCTCAGTGCAGCCCCCAAGCTTGTGCCTGGTTTTAAATTACACGTTGCGTCTCTGTGCAGGCGAGCAGACCCACATGTCCCTGTTACAACTGTACCGCCTCCAGGCTTCCAGCACTTTGTGTGGCTCTTCATCAGTCTGATGTCAAAGAGACTCTGGATGAGGCAACCCCATTCAAACGATGTGGAAAGTATGTTTCTGGACTTGTTTTAAAGGGATAGTTCACCCAAAAATTAAACGTGCAACATGACATCTGGCATAACTTCAACTTATTTGTAAATAATTTGAGTCATTTTGAATGAATCAGTTCATCCAGTTCATAAAAATGTTCACGAATCAAATTTATATGGTTCTTGAGCTCACTAGAGTTCGAACTCAAGCAATACATTATTAAAAATTTCTCCTTTCAAAGAAAGAAAGTACATCATACAGGTTTGGAACAACATAAGAGTGCATAAATGATAACAGGATTACAGTGTTTGAGTGAAATATTACTTGTGAAGCAGAAATGTTGGCACATCTGTTTATCATCTTGAGCAACTTGTCTTTGAGAACCGTCTTGCATTTATTATGCATTTTACATTTGTGCTCATAGTTGCGTAAACATGAAATAAATAAAATTTAATGGCATCTTGCTTTGTAAATGAAATGATGATTGAAGCACTAGGAGACTTGCTTGCTTTTATCTCTGGCATGCCATTGGGACTATTTTTTTTCTACGTGTTTGTTAATATCACCTCATAAATGAACAGCACTTATCCCTATTACTGGGTCCCTGCTTAGAAACACGACCTGCCCTGCAGTGAGGACTTTGATGTGTCTGTTCCTAGAAGACATTTGTATCTGTCTTTTACTGAACTAAATAAGGACAGTTCCTGTATTTCTGTGTTGTTTTGTGGTTAAAATGTTTAAAAAGAACAACCCTAGAACAACTGGTTTACCTGAAAATATCAGATAAAAAAGTAATTGCAATCGATCTTAAAAAGATTTTCTTTTCTTGAGCTAAAAATTACTATGTGAGTACAATCTCTAAACTTATCTTTATTCAATCGTCAGTTTTCTCTACTCTTGTGTTGTTGTTTTTTCAGGCAGGCTCATTTTCACAGTCTGGACCATTCCAAAAATCTGTCCTGGATTAGGTTTAATAGCTAGAACGAATTGACCTTTGGGGGGTAGATGAAATTTCTCTTAGTAAAAATGACTGCCAAATCTTTTACTCTCAGTCTGTCAGCAGTTTTAATTGTGGAGTATTCATTAAAATAAAATTCCTGTATCTTAAATAGTGGAGCATGGCACTAACAATGCCAAGGCTAAGGGTTTGATTCCCATGGAGTGCATGAACTGATAAAAATGTAAAATGCCAAT